TTAATAAAAAAAAGTAAATGAAATTGTTTAATTATTATTATTATTTTATATTATTTATTAAATTGTATTAATATTATCAATATTATATTACTCACATATATTAATATTTTTGCATATAATCTCATTTGGAATATTATTAATGAAGTAAAATATTTGTCAGTTTTCATAAACTAATATATTATAAACAACTGTTCTGTTTTTTTTTACCTCCACCCATTGTTGTTTCTCCAAAAAATAATTGTACCTAATATATAATAACAATGTTAGTAATTACAATATTTAATAAAATAAAATTTAAAAAAAAAATACCTGACAATGATTCTTTTTTTCAATACTATTTGTTGAAAATAATCTATATAATAAGTTTTTTTCTTTTAACTGACACATGAAAAAAGGTATATACAGTGTTAATATATGCATATATGGTGTAATATCTTCTGCTCTATATATTCCAGGAATTTCTATTGTATTATTAAATTATTATATAATTTAAATTTTTTAATAAAAAAAATATTAAATTATTTAAACTTTTTTATTTCCAGTAGGTAGCCATGATAGATTCATGTTGTAATGTGATTTAATATATCACATTCACAAAATAAATAGAAATAGTTTGAGTTTGGAGCATTTAGACTATACTTGCACGCAAAATTATTTTGTAGCCCCGAAATTGCAATTTCGGAAAAAAAGTCAAAATAGTTTTTCATAGAAGACAAAATTATTTTACTTAAAACCTGAAATTTTTTGATCACCCAGATTTATTCTTTGATTGAATATACATATAACTGGGTACTTTTTTTACTTCCATATATAAAATAGATTCTGCATAAATCTCAAAAAGTCGAAATATCTCAAAAATCCAAAATCAATTTTGGAAACATGTATAATTTAGACCAATAATAATATATGAAAATTTCCAATCTCCAGAAAAGAAGAATTCAATTGGCCAATGATTACCATCTTCATCAATTATTCCATTCTATTTAAATTTGTTAATTATGATGCAAATATTTTATTAACTTTGTCTAAAATCTCATATGTTTCTTTTCTCACATATAGACATAAACTAAAATAAAGATTAATTTATTATTATATTAAAGAGTAAGTCTATTTGTCACCAGTGGTAATCGTCACCACTGGACAAAATTACATAATTCCCTGATCCTAACTCTAACCCTAAATTTATTAATTTTGCTCAACGGTGACTATTACCAGCAGTGACAAGCATACTTTTTTTATATTAAATGTTAATATGAATAAAAAATACCTATATTATTTACTGGGTTTAAGTATCTCTTCTTATTCATTCAATAAACAAAAAGTAATCATTACATGATTTTGTTTTTTTCCTATGTTTCTTCCATCTCTTCCAAGTTTAATGTAAAGAGTATCTCCAGGAATTATTACTGATATATTTTTTCAAATTGGTATTAATATTTTAAGTAAAGTTTTCAAAGAACAAAAAGTACCATTTCCTATTTTATTATTGTTATTATCGAAATTGAATTAATTAATATCCTGATCTATATTAAAAATTCCTTCAGGTATCTGAGCATTTATAAGCTCATTTATTTCATTTCTATGATCAGCAACTAAATATTCACAAAAAAGACTAGGTACAACAGCTGCCAAATGTCTATAACTATCTTGATCCAAAAGTGCTTCATCATATACTCTTACTATAGTATCCAATCTTGTTTAGTAATTTCTGGATCCAAATTTTTAAATTTAATTTGAACTTGATTTTCTATATAATCAAACTCAATATAATGTGTATATACAATAGATTGTCCTGATGAATCTGTTAATTTGTGTTTTACAATTAATTCATCAACAGATTTTTTTATATTTTTTTCAAAATTTTTAAGTCTTTTGTGTTGTTGTGAACATGAAGTAATATCTTCAAATGGTCTAATTTGTTTATTAGACTTGAATTTATTTTAATATGAAGGTTCAATATCAAAACTAAAAATTTGTGGTCCAGAAAGTTTAGGGTTTTTTGATTAATTTTCTAATTATAATAAAATTAATAAAATTAATTTATTATATAATTATTAATTACATGTTGGAATTTTGAATAAATAAATAAAATTAATATAAAATTAATTATATATTTAAAATAAAAATTAAATTACATATTTGTTTAAATGAATTAATCATATATTAGAGTTAAAATTATAAAATTAATAATATGATAATAAATTGAATCTATATAATAATATAAATTAAAAATAAAATAATAAATTATATTAATTTAAATAATTTAATAATAAAAGTTAATTTTATTGATATTAATTATTAAAAACATAATTATATAATCAAAATTAACTATATCTTTAAAAATGTATTAATGACTGCTGTAGCTGATTTTGTGCTATTGATATTTCATTCAGCATGTCCTTCCTTCCAAGCAACAGTGTAATTTATTTTGAATTGGATTCCCATTTTGTTTCACATTTAACTTTTTTTTCAGCAACTTCTGTTTCAATTATATAGTTATCAGGTATCCAATATTGGATTATATTATCACAGTTTATTTTTTGAGTTAATTTTGGTGCTATGGGATAAGTTCCTAGGGAAATAACATTATAATATGAATTACAGTATATATTCGTCCTTTTGATTTATATTGAGCTTCAATTCTTGGACTTTTTGGATAATTGTGTATAAAAGTATGACTGGAGAAAGAATTTGCTAATAAAAGAATTTTTAAAGTATTTTAAAATAGAATAAACCAAACAAAATAAATAAAATAATATATTTAAACAAACGCCTTCTAAAACTTGATTTTCTATATTTTGACCTTCTACACTCTCATCACCTACATCACGATTTTCTTTATCAATACCACTTTCTATATCTTGAACTTCTACCATTAGAATATTGATTTTCAA